AGAGCTTGTAGAGCAGCTCGGTGGGGCCGACTTGCCGGAACCCGGACACCTCGTACCTGATGTAACACCCGACCAGCTGGATTCTACCCGCGATCGAGTCGCCGCAGAGGTTCTTGGACATGTCGGTGGCTTTCTGCACGCAATCGCTGCAGTCGGAGGCGGAGAGGTCGCCCCGGCATTGGAACAGCCCGGCGATGCTCGATTGGCCGCCGCCGCCGCCGGTGGCGGCGGTTTTGTAGAACTTAGCGGCGGAGGATTGGGAAACCAGAGTCTCAAACAGGGTCTCCAGATTTTGAGAGAAAACCCCAGTTCCATCCTGGGATTTCTGGTTCGCACACCCTTTGAACACCGATTCCTTGTAATCCGAACAGTACCCAACAACAAAGAAACAACCAAGAATCAAAAACACCAGAGAAAATGGGGAGAGAATTCGAGACTGACCCATTTCAATCCTCTGATATCACTCCAAACATCACACCTTTTTCTGGGAAAATCCCCAACGAAAACCGCCGATTTCTCAGATTCTTTCTAGAACAACAAGAACAACCCAAGAAATGATCATGATGGGTATCTGAGAATTGGCTTATTGTGGGGGTTTATCAAGAGGAGCGCTCTGGGCCTCTGGCGTCAAAAAAGGTCTCTTGTGGGGAAAGAAAAACCGAAAAAGATTTCTGGGGAAGACCCTTTTTAGTAATTGAGTGCCTTTCTCCTTAAGTACCTTAGCTCCATGTCCAACACTATAGTTGGCAAATGATTAATCATAGATCACAATAATGCTCGACAGAGATCACTAAAGAACGCTGTTTTCCGTTCAATTATTTTAATCCAAACGCTAATGATAATACCATGCACTAATTTGCAAGTGAACCAAATGACATCTTGGGCTCTGCTTGTCGGCCGGCGACAACTTTTTTGGTTTGTTCGGCGATTAATTAGTTATTAAGAATTGTGGTAAAGGGTTTTGACTGAGGTTTACGCGTGAAGATAATGATTAGACTGGGATTATCGGACGGGGATTAGTGTGCCGGTGCCGATGGCGCCGTACGGTCTGATGAGAAAACTGAAAACGCTACGAGGGTGGGTGGGCCGCGTGGGCAGCGTGGCACCAGCGAGATGCTCGACAGACAGTATATGTAACGAATATTCTGTTCTATAATCTATTCTATTGTCTTATGAATCATTTTGATTTGCAATGGACGCACTACACTTGTTTGGGAATTTTTTTTTTTTTTTTTTAAATTATGGTCTCTATGAACTCGTCCCAAAAATGAGCAAATTTAATTTATAACTCTGATATAGTGATGTTTTTACTTAGCCTGGTGTGAAGCTACAATGGACAGACAACAAGCAGCAACGAGGATCACCACTGTTGATACATGGACTAAACCTCAACAAGGATTCCTTAAGTTGGATGTGGATGCGGCCATTGACAAGCAAAGTGCCCACATGAGTTTTGGTTGTGTCCTAAGAGATGAACTAGGCCAATTTGTTGCAGCAAGAGTGTCTTAGTGGAGGGGCTATTACAACTCTAAGGAAGCTAAGGCAGTAGCAATTCGGGAATCTCTTACTTGGCTCAAAACCCTCAACATTGACACGGTTATTATTGGGACCGACTCTCTCCAAGCTACACAAGGTTTCAACTCCAATTTGGGAGATTATTCCTTTCTTTTAGTGTTGTCGAAAATTGAAAACTTAATGAGTATGTTTACTCATAGTAGTTTAGTTTTTGTTAAGCGATATGCGAATCAGGCAGCACACTTGTTAGCATGATAGTCTGTTTCTATGTCTGGTTGTTTGGAGTGGCTTTCTAACCCTCCGTCCATCATTTGTAATGCGTTATTCTTGGATTTGAATTAATATATTTCTTTGTTTTTCAAAAAAACTCCGATACGACGATACTCAACATAAAATTGTACACTTATGAACATATTTTAAGTGAGATTTCTCATACACTAAATCGATGTCCTGAAACATATATTTTATATTGTTTTTCCTCTTGCCATACGTACACCGAAAAATACATTTGGTAACTCAGCGATTATTTGCTCCAAAGTCCAAACCGTTGTAAATTGCAAACGTAGCAATACACTTGACGTTTTGTGTTTTCATTAATTTCAAAATGGACTAGGTATTAAAATAATTAAAAGAAAACTATACGGATTAGGAAAATGTAAAATCGAACCGTCCGAACGCGCTCGACACACACCTCTAAACGCAGATGACCTTGGAGAACCGTCCTCGTGTTCGCAATGAACTGGTGAATGGAATAGTGGAAGTGACGAAGTGGTGACTGGTGACTTTCGTGAGTTCCTGAGTGAAGAAGCCGATAACCAGTAGTAAACAAATATGAAATTCTGAATAAGAGCATCCGCAATAGTTGTAGTTTTTGAGGAGTTTTTTCAGGTGTGACTATGAAAAGAGAATATGAGATGGAAAGGAACAAAAACAAAACAAAAAAAAAAACAAAACAAAACAAAACAAAAAAAAAACAAAAACAAAAACAAAAACAAATTTTAATTTTTTTTTAAGTAAAGATTTACGCACCCAGTTAGGCGCGAGATTTGCGCCTAACGCAAGTCAATTTTTTTGGTGGGGCCCACATATCTGACAAAAACCAAAGTCCTTCAGCAAAGACCAGGCTTACTCTCTCTAATCACCCTCTCTCATCCACATAAGCATTGCCTCTTCAAAACACCCCAAAACCCACTATTCTGGTTGCCCTAAGGGATTAGGGAATCACGATTTTGTTTGTGTGTGTGTGTGTGTGTTTTTTTATTGGGTCAAAACATTAAATGGGCAAATGGCAGAATGGGCTGACTGGCAGTAAGTATTGGATATGTATATATATCGAAATCGAAACTTAATAACCGTAGAATAACCGAAAAATCAAAAAATTGTGACATCAATAATCAAAAATTGACTTTTTTCGGTTAGTTTGGTTATCGAGCGGTTAATCTATATTTTGCTAACCCTTACCATGGATCTCATGTATCGTTTTGGTCTATTGATACCATATGAGAACAATAAATTATATGGAGATTTTTATTATTGATCAATTCAATTTTATTTAAAAGATAGATTTATAATCACTATATATATATATATATATATATATATATATATATAATGAATTATGGGGTGGCTATAGTACAAAGTCATAATAATATGTCAAGCACATTGTGCTCAGATGCATGTAGTGACCTCTCTCATGTGGGAGGTCATGAGATTGAATCTTAGTGGAGATGTTGTTGACTCTCAGTGTGAAAAATTAGGATCTTTTATTCTTACATTAGTTCACAACCGGGGTACTTCGACAAAGTAACAATTCAAGTATCTAATTTCTCTCACATGTTTCATTTTTGTGTTTAGCAACAATACAAGGTTTTACTTCGACAAAGTAACAATTTAGGTATCTAATTTCTCTAACATGTTTCATTTTTGTGTTTTGCTTTGAATGTTATGTAGTATTATCGATTGTTGAGCAATTTGATATTTATCGATGTTTCCATTGTTGTTTCAATCTACTTTTGTTTTCGGCTTACTTTCCCTTTTTGTATGCCTTTGCTTTTTAACTCATAAAAAGCATAAATAATGAAAGTTAATTGAATAATATAATTGAAAAATGATTTGTGGTTTACGAGTTAATGATTGAACAAAGTTAGAGTGTGTAATATAATAACATCTCCATTTATGAAAAAAGATGAGTTTTAGGTTAGGTTTTTTTTTTTTTTTTTCCAAGGTGGGGAAGAGATGAGAGGTGAGAGAGAGAGAGATAGGGGGGGGGGGGGGGGGGGGGAGGAATAGTAACGTATGTTTTAGTCCAAGTTTTTTTTTTTTTTTTTGCTTTGTTTTGTTTTGTTTTTTTTTTTGTTTTTGTTTTAAGTAGAAAAAGGAAATACAACATTGTTGCGTTACCTAGTAAGCGTGTCCAGGGCACGCGGCACGCACATTAGGTGGTCTATTTTAAGTACTACCTTGGAAGTTTTTTTTCCAAGGTGGGGAAGAGATGAGAGGTGTGAGAGAGGGGGGATAGTAAAGTGTGTTTTAGTCCAAGTTTTTTTTCTTCTTCTTAAAAGAGTGAAAAAATGAAATACAACACTGTTGCGTCGCCTAGTAAGCGCGTGCAGGGCATCCCCAAAATACCCAACAAGCATTAACTCTCCCTGAAATACACCTTCCAGTACGGCTACCTTGTTACGACTTTACTCCAGTCACTAGCCCTGCCTTCGGCATCCCCCTCCTTGCCGTTAAGGTAAGGACTTCGGGCATGGCCAGCTCCCATAGTGTGACGGGTGGTGTGTACAAGGCCCGGGAACGAATTCACCGCCGTATGGCTGACCGCGATTACTAGCGATTCTGGCTTCATGCAGGCGAGTTGCAGCCTGCAATCCGAACTGGGGACAGGTTTTTGGGGTTAGCTCACCCTCGCGGGATCGCGACCCTTTGTCCTGGTCATTGTAGCACGTGTGTCGCCCAGGGCATAAGGGGCATGATGACTTGACTTCATCTTCACCTTCCTCCGGCTTATCACCGGCAGTCTGTTCAGGATTACAAGCGCATGCATATTAGGTGGTCGCTAGTAACCTGCCTGTTATGTTTCTTTTTATTGTTTTTTTTTTTTTTTTTTCCACTTGACACCATTAGTATTGCTATAACTTTAATGTCTAAGACTTTAACTCCACCATAAAAATTAATTTAACAGTAAAAGGTTTAATCCCATTTTAAGTACTGCCAGTACCTTATAGTATTTTGTAGAATCAATGTGTAACTGCATCAATGTGCATTAAAAATGAATTTAATTAAATAAAATATAGTTAAAAAAAAAAAAAAAACACTTGATGCACTATCAAGTTTCAAATGATCTCTGTTGGGGGCTGGTGCCCTACACAAAATTATTCATGACTTAAACGCTACCGTTGTTTACCACGCGCCCTCTTGTAGCGTGGGCAACGTGCCAGTACGTCGCTCGCCAGTGTCTCGAATTCCCAGACGCACCAGTGGCTCGGTGCGTACAAACACCCTTCCTTTTCTCCCATTTGCCTTCTCTCTGAACTACTACGCCAAGTCCGCCCTTTTCTTGCTTTCATTTTTCACAGTCTCCACTCACTATCGAGCTCGAGCTGTTTCAGAGAAACGCCGCCGGTATGCGCTCCGCCGTTCTTTGCCTTTGATCGTCGTTCTTCGGCCGGTGAGTCCTTATTTTTTCCTTCATTTCGCCGGGAATTTCGTCACAAATTTTTTTAAAAATTTCCTCGATTTTTTCAGTTCTTGAGGATTCTGCGTTACGGTTGGGACTTCTTTGATTGTCCGTGTCCGTGAATAATCCAAGGTTTAGAGATTCTACTGCTAATATTTTACTCCAATGTGGCATAGACGTACATTCCGTGTAAATATTTCATTAGGTCTGAGAATGATGCGAATAAGAGAATGCGTTTTTGAATATAGTTTACTATGAAATTGCATGTTCATGTGTCTTAGAGGGTTTTTTTCTGAAAGATTGAAGACAACATTATAGGTTGGAGTAAAAAAGAAGCTTTTTATTTATCAGCTAATTTTGCTTAAGGTTTTACACTGTAGAGTTAAACTGGGAATTAAACTAAAAAAATTATCAACACACTTAGATGTTTGAAATTATCCAATTATCTGGAAAGGGGCTTAGTTTATCACTAACTTAAACCCCTAACCTGCATCACCACAATGATGGAATACAGTATGGGAAAATATAAATTGGTTATATTCAAGTACCTACATTTGCATGTAACTCATGGTACCCTCTCAATGTATCTTATTCATGTTGAAGGTTGGTCATTGAAATGTTCATACAGATGCAATAATTCTTGTAGGTCAAAGAGATGCTAAGGTAGCTCTCTGGAATTTGTTATATCTTTGTGGTAAAAGGGAACTATGAAATCATAATTAGTGGGAATGTGCCAAAAAGTAGCATTCCGAATTAATTGTGCAATGCAGCCAATGCTTGCCTAAAGTTGAGCCTTTTTTTATTTACCATTATACTCTTTGTTGCTGGTTCAAAAATATAGAAATGAGTGGACAAACATGACAGGAGGAGCTAAAACAAATAAAGCTATGATGTGTGATTTTTCTGATTATTTGGTTTGCTTATGATAAACTAAAATGTAGGTTTGTTGAAGATTTTGAATGCTGCATTAGAAACTTTTCTGAAATAAACAATGGCACCAAACCCAAGAGTTATAAGTGCCTTTCGGGCAATGAAGACCATTGGAATATCAGAAGATAAGGTGAAACCTGTGTTGAAAAACCTTTTAAAATTATATGAAAAAAACTGGGAGCTCATTGAAGAGGAGAACTATAGAGCCCTTGCAGATGCTATTTTTGACCAAGAGGAAGCCGAGGTCTTCTTTTTTCATCTTTTCTTGTTCCTACTTCCATTATTAATTTTACTCTCTCACCTTCCTTCCTTTGTTATATTGCCTTGTTTTATAAATCTGCATTTTATTTTATATCATATGCAGGCTGCTGCGCAACTCAAGAAGCCTAATAATGCTGAAGTAATTGGGATTCATTTCTGATTTGTTTTCTTTTCAATGCTAATTCAGGACACTACTTTGACTTTTCCATTGATTTCTCTTCTTTCTTTTCTTTATTGGCTTCCCTCTGACTTATGATTTCTTCTCTGATATGCAGGTTGTTGCACAACTCAAGAAGCCTAATAATGTTGAAGTAATTGGGATTCATTTCTGATTTGTTTGCTTTTCAATGCTAATTCAGGACACTACTTTTAACTTTTCATTGATTTATCTTCTATATTTCTTCTCTTTTTTGGCGTCCTTCTCACTTATCTAGCGAGAGGAAGCTTTAGATGAAGCAACACAAGAGGAGCCAGAACGACCACTTAAGCGATTGCGGTTAAAATATCAAGATGGTCAACCTTCACATTTATGTAACAATGCTAGCACTGCCTTGACTGGATCTAAATTAAAAAAGCCTAAAGTGGAGGTTGATGAAGTACCCAATGATCATCAGAGTCAGCAGCAAAGTAATGGAGGCAGGACAGGTCAGTCCCAACCCGCCACCCATGCCAGAAACAAAGGAAAGCAACCTATTTCACCAAACTCTCACCCAGTGCAACCGAGAGATAGAGGAAGAGAACATCTAGCGATTCATTCTGCATCTCAGAAAACTTCTGGCACTCTTGCTTTGATCAAGCCTAAGGACGAACCGTTCACTGATGATATGCCACACTATGAGGCCCCTCTTGCATGTCTTCCCCCTGGTAATTGTTAGCTTGTGATGAATGTCACTTGTTGAGTTTATGTGTTATGTTCTAATTTTTATTTATTTTTTAATAGATTTTCCTTTGGTTGGGTATCCTGATATGAATTGTTCCATGAACTATTCAATTTGATTATCATTATTTCAACATTTACAGAGCCGGCAAATGAGTCTGATGCACCAAATGGAAATTGTTCGCACAGAGATCTAGATGCTCCAGAAACCTTAGCATCAAAATCCAGCGTGGGGAAAGATGCAAGGAATTATACTGCAGCTGCATCTGCTGAAATGGTATCAAATCAACAGCTGGCAAGGATTGAGGATGGATCTTCATCTAACCTAGAGATTGCTTCCTCTCCCTCTGGAGAAGTTAAAATATCTATAAGTTGTTCCTCTACCATTGGAGGACCTGACTTTCATTTGCCTAATCTAAATGAAGTGCTTAAATTGGTGGAAGATAGGTGTCTGAGGTCTTACAAATTCCTGGACCCAAACTTTTCTGTGATGAAACTGATGAAAGATATGTGTGAGTGCATTGAAATATTGGGGACCAAAACTTATAATGATAGGACAGAAACAGAAAACATGATGACAGCTATTACTCGGTTGGAAACATCTCTTATGGAAGATGATTTCGATTCTAGTGGCAAGCTTCCTGATTCTACAAATGAACTGATAAATTTTGAAGTTGATGCTGCATTGGTTCAGCCGCAAATACCACACCTACCTCTACCTTGCAATGGTGTACATGACGACACACTACCTGAGGAAGTTGCATCTGAGAACAGTGACAGAGTTGCTACTCGGAATGATCTTGAACAGATAAATTTTCAAAGTCTGGTCCCGATGGAGTCATGCCAACCATCTTCTGATAAAGTATGGTCTCTCCATGATGTTATTGACATTACTAACGGGCAAGAGAAGATGGTAATTCCAATAGTGAATGAGGTTAATAGCGAGGTTCCCCCATCATTCCACTATATAGCTCAGAGTGTAGTATTTCAGAATGCATATGTGAATTTCTCCTTGGCGTGTATTGGAGATAATCATAGTTGTTCAACTTGCTCTGGTGATTGTTTGTCATTGTCTGTTCCTTGTGTTTGTGCACAACAAACCAGGGGAGATTTTGCATACACATTAGATGGCCTTCTCAAAGAGGACCTTCTAAAAGACTGTATTTCTAAAAACCAGGAGCCCAAAAAACACAGCCAGTTCTTTTGCAAGGTGTGCCCTTTAGAGAGATCTAAAAATGATGATATTGTAGAACCTTGCAAAGGTCATTTAGAAAGGACTTTCATCAAAGAATGCTGGTGGAAATGTGGATGCAATAAACAGTGTGGCAATCGTGTGGTCCAACGCGGAATAAGTCGAAAGTTACAGGTCCGACTTTGCACTTAATAATCCTTGTTCCATATCTATTCTTTAATACTTTGGTCATAAATGCTTTACTTTTTGAGTCACATCTTACTACAAGTTTCTGATTGCAGTAAACTCCATGCTACATGCTGAATTATAAAACATTGTTATAATTCATTTAATTTCTTCTGATTCTGTGTTATTCTCACATCTTCAGGTGTTTATGACGTCTGAAGGAAAAGGATGGGGCCTTCGGACTCTTGAGGACCTACCAAGAGGCACATTTGTTTGTGAATATGTTGGAGAAGTTCTTACCAATGCTGAACTCTTTGGTCGTGTTTCACGAAGCCTTAGTGGTGAGAAGCGTTTCCATCCAGTGCTACTTGATGCAGATTGGGGTTCAGGAGGTGTGTTAAAGGATGAAGAAGCTCTTTGTTTAGATGCTACATATTATGGGAATGTTGCAAGGTTTATTAATCACAGGTAATGATTATTTGAAAGGACTACATGCTCTATGGCCTTAAAAAATTTACTACCTCTCAGGCCACTAGTTTATTTATTATATATCTGTATGTGCATTTATTATTTATTTATCAGTGATTTGGTTCTTTGCCAGATGTTTTGATTCAAATTTGGTTGAGATCCCTGTCGAGATAGAGAGTCCTGATCACCACTATTATCATGTATGGACTCGTATTTCTGCTGCATTTTCCCGTTTATTCATTTCAATTGTTGTTAATCTTGATGCTTTCTTCCAACTGTTTGTTTGTTACCTTGATACAGCTTGCTTTCTTCACTACAAGGGATGTTAAAGCCATGGAAGAATTGACTTGGGTGAGTAAGTGAAGCATGTTCAAGACGGTTGCTGTTTTACTGGGGAAGGGAGTAATGTGATAGTTATGACTAAGTTATAAATGATGTTTAAAGATGTTAAGTCAATGTGAGACGATGCACATTTGCCACCAGTGGCTGGTGTAAAGTGGCAGATTGATGAAAATGCTTTGACTACAGATCGGAAATGTCAGGGTAGGCCAGGAATTAGGGCTAATTTACATCTGGGATTCAGACATGAGCATGGATCAATGAAGTGAGATTGTAGCTTTGGGCACAAGTGTCTATCTATCTATCTATCTATCTATATATGTGAAATAAGAATTTAGCGTACATAATCTTGACATTGACAACAAAACTAGTTCGCACCGGAACAACTACTTGGTAGTAATGCATAGGTAACTAACTACTTATGAATCGAATCATTTTTTCTAATCGGATAGTTTGTGTATGTTTGCAGGACTACGGAATTGATTTTGATGACCTTGATTATCCAATAAAAGCATTCCAATGTCAGTGTGGAAGCCAGTTCTGCCGAAATATCAAGCGATTGAGTAGTAAGTACCAAGGGAACGATATAATGTTTATTCCTCATTCTTCCATGTCGTAACCTGCATGCCTGTTATGTTTTAGGGTCCAGAGGAAGGAGGTAAAATGAAGGTTACAGATATGATGCAACCCATAATGTGATAAGCCTAACTTTTTGGTGGACAACTTGTGGTCTGCACTTGTAATCAGTGTGAATCTGCTGCTGCTGCTAAACCAACTCTCTTTATTCAACTTTCCCAACTTTTGACTGCTTTTTCTAGCTGCATTGCAGACTTGTACATCTTTGTTTGTACCAGTGGCAGCATATCTTTATAATGTTATGGTAGATATAACCTAGTTTGTTTATCTACTAGTAATACATCATGCATTGATGCTTATACTATACATCCATTTTATCTGCTTTCAAGAAACAGAAAGCTGCTGCAACTTTTCTCCCATCTTCATCAAGGAGTTCCTATTAGGTGGCTTCAACAGTGTATCATCCTGGAAATCTGAGGGCATTACTGGTCGAATGCCACCGGGATTTAGTGGGAAAAGAGTCTTGTAGTATCCATCCATGATATCTCCCATATTGCAAGTCTCTGCAACCTTAGGAATCTGTACGAGAATGAGAGTCATGAACAAAACAGAAGAATATGAAGTCTGAGATTCTTGTGTTGGTGTACTATGGTTTACCTGATAGATGTCTCTCATGTATCCATGGAGGTTTGGGTATTGTATGATCTTCTTCTTCGAACACTTGAACAGTACATGGTAGACCAGATCGAACCTGATCAAAGTAGTGAACAAGCACACATCTGCAAGCGTCAACACATCACCACACAGATACCTTGACCTCCCCAAATGATCATCAATCATTTCCAATGTACTAAACACCTCTTTTACTGCTCTATCATAAGCTTCTTGACTCTGGGCAAACCCACACCTACAACATCCAAAACAACACAATTACTTCAAGAAAATCACTGGAAACGCTTAGTCACACTCGCAAAGTTTCTCCTCTTTCAACTTTACAGTTACATTGACCATCTGGCATCTGTCACATAACTTTACAATTACACTCGCAAAGTTTCTCCTCTTTCAACTTTACAGTTACATTGACCATCTGGCGTCTGTCACATAACTTTATAATTGCATTGATCGTCTGTTTAGTATGGAGTTTTTTTCCATTTTGATCCTTCGACTATAATACGTTTCTGAATTAGGTCCTTGACTAATAAATTTTTAATTTTTCTGCGTGACTATTCAATTTCTTCCACATTTGGCCCATCATTCAATTTGTCGGTTAACTTAAGCCGAAAAGTAAAAACAAGGCCAACCAAGTTGAAAAGTAAGTACCGAAAAGTTATTTTGTGCTTTTTTGCTGGTTTAAATTGGTCGAAAAATTGAGCAAGCGATCAAATGTGGAAGTAATTGAATAGTCATGCATCCAAATTGGAAATTTTGATAGTTAGGACCTAATTTGGAAGGAGTATTGACCAAAAGTAGAAAAAAAATCTTGTTTACGTGCTTGAAAAATGAAGAATGATGAGCATAATAATTACCTATAAACGCCGTTGTTTACTTTGGGGTATATGATCTGGTTCCATTTGGCGATCTCATGTGTGAGTGAGGGTGGGGAAAGGTCTAATTCTGGATTATTTGCAATTCTGTTTAACCCGGAATTGAAGAACTCAATGATGTCGTAGCTCTCGTTACAGATAACCTGTTTTTTGTCGGAATCCCATAGCATAGGGACAGTGGACCGGCCGTTATAGCCGCCGCGGCTAGACTGATAAACCTCCCTGAGGGTTTTGCGACCGTTGGACTTGTCCAGAGTCGGGACAAGCTTATCCGTGTCCGGGACAGGGCTATACCGGAATTCCCAAGAGCCATCGGCGCCGGGAGAGGCGATTGAGACGGGAATAGCATCTTCCAGGCCCTTAAGAGCTCGGACAATCAGAGTTCTGTGGGCCCAAGGGCAAGGTAGGCCAACGTACAGGTGGATGTTTCCGGCGGAGAGGTGTATGCCGGAAGAATTCGGATCGTGGATGCGGAATTTGGAAGCGGGTCGGGTGTAGCTGCCGGATGGGTCCGACGGCGCCAGCTGCGACATCATGATATTCCAGGCGGTGGACCAGGTTGAACGGACGGTGGAGATGAGTAGCTGGGGTGGCAGGGCGTTGCCCCATAGAAGCTTAGTGATGCCGGTGACGAGGCTAGTAGTGGGGCTTTGGCGCTCGCCGGACATTCTGGGAGAGCGGTGGCGGATTCTCGATGTAATCGCGCCGCCGCCGCTAGTTCGAGGCTTCTTAACGGTGACGGGGGAGAAAATGCCGGAGCCTAGCGGCGAAGCAGTGGAGTACATGGTTGATGAGTCGACTATGGTAGTTGCCGGCAAGAAAAATCTGTTGGTGGGGTATTTATGTCATTTGATGAGTCGGCAATGGTAGTTGACGGCAAGGAAAATCTGTTGGTGGGGGTATTTATGTCATTTCATCATTTTGGCAAATTCTACTATGAACCAGGACCAATGTTGCAATGTAGACATAAATGTTTATTTTTTAATTTACTAAAAATTTACTCTTTGTTTTTTTTTTTTTTTTTTTTTAAAGGATGAAAATGTCCATTTAATGTATTGAAAATTCATGTTTTAATAGTGATAGAGAATATTCATTGGGTATACTTTCTCTTTTAGAATTCGGTTAGATCAAAGAGAATGACTATTACCGACCTCGGAGTCTACCGACCCGGCCTCAATAATTATATTGAGGAGTGTGTGGTCAACATTAATATCCAACCGTCTTTCAATTTCTCCCCAACCTGCTTGGGTCAAGAAATGTCACCCGACCCTCTCCGCTTGTAGTCTATGGTGACACTCCTTTATTCGACCCGATGACTACAAGAACGAGGGGGTCAGGAATCTGAGTACACGTGAAGGAATCATCACAGTCTTCGACATGCCAGTGTGCATGGGCACCACGTGTTGCGCATGACGGAGAGATCAACATGTGCTCCCTTCAACATCTTATAAATAATAAATACCACATTAAATGCTAATGAGGAAACTTTTGACATCTTCAATACACTCATATTTTACTTTGGACCCTCTGGACCCGAGCCTAAAGACTGGCCCACAAACAGATTATTCAAGGATTTACCTATAGTCTGACATTGTACACTATACGTATTTGTGAAACTCGCTATATTTACCACATTAAGTAATATATCTATGAATGAACTTTTAGAAAATGAATTTTCAATATTCAAATATGTCAATGGTCCATTTGACAAGGTGGACAACAGTCCGGGTATAATTATTGCATCATTTTTACTGGGCCAAAGTACTTCTTGGGCTTTATATATAACTCAAGAACGTTAGCAATTTAGCCGTTAATCCAAGTTATAATGGCCCAAGTGGCCCAAAATCCAAAATTCTGCTACCCAGTTTAGTAATTTAAGCAAAACCCTAGCGAGCTCCGTATAAAACCCTAGCCGCTTACTCTTGTCGTTAGTTTCTGGAGAGCAGAGGGATTCACGATGTCGAAGCGAGGTGAGCTGAGTTCTCTTTGATAGCTTAGCTCCTCCATTTTCATTATTTGTCTATTTTCCGATTGATTTTCAATTATCGTTTGGCTAATTATGTGAAAATGTGATTTCAAGGACGCGGAGGTTCCGCCGGGAACAAGTTCAGGATGTCGCTCGGTCTGCCGGTCGCGGCGACCGTGAACTGCGCCGACAACACTGGAGCGAAGAACTTGTATATCATATCCGTGAAGGGGATCAAGGGTCGCCTCAACAGGTTGCCTTCTGCTTGCGTAGGTGACATGGTCATGGCTACAGTGAAGAAGGGGAAACCCGATCTCAGGAAGAAGGTCATGCCCGCCGTCATCGTCCGTCAACGCAAGCCGTGGCGCCGAAAGGATGGCGTTTTTATGTATTTCGAAGGTATACTTCCGGCTGTGTTTTGTTGTTGTTTATCTGTGATTATTGTTGTTCTTAAGCTCGCTTTTTGTGGCTCTGCTATTTTTATCAGAATTGTGATGCTTAGATGGATATTTGTCTTCCTCGTATTGATTATTAATCAATTGTGATGTCTGTATATTTGTGATTGATAGTCATTGTATTCAAAATATTTTGTTCAATTGAAATTATGATGGGTTTATCATTGCTTTCTCGTAGCACATTAATGATTTAATGTCTGTTATGGAATGATTGTATACTGCATCTATTTTCTAGTTTCTTGTTGGTATTGAATTTACAGGCTGCTGTGACTTAGATTTTATACAATCTTTTGGCTAACACAATGTTATACAAACTTGTCACTGATCATTAAATTATTGTATGTAGATAATGCTGGTGTCATTGTGAATCCTAAGGGTGAAATGAAAGGTAACATTCTTGTCTTTGAACAGAAGAATATAGATCACTTACGCACTAGATATGATCATATGAAGAAAAAAGATAAAACTTACTTATATTTTTAGTTCATGTAGCATTATTCAATTACTATGTTTTTAAAATCCCTGAATTTTCTGCGATTGTAGGATCTGCCATTACTGGACCTATTGGGAAGGAATGTGCTGACCTTTGGCCTAGGATCGCCAGTGCTGCAAATGCTATCGTTTAGAATCATTATCTGAACTGGGTTTTGTGTTTTAGTTTTGTTTGGTTTTAAGACTCAGAATTTGTAGTTTTGCCTTAGGCACAGATCACATTACTTGGCTATCTAAAATGTTGTAAGACTCCTTGAATTTTTGTTTTATTGCTGATGTTGGATCTTCAATCTGTTCAGTCTTTCAAAATGCGTGGACATATAATTATGTCTCTATAAGCTATCAACTTTTCGTCATATTTGTGATTTGGCATTTGCCCATGATGCTTAGTGAAATGCCATTTAATCTTGTGCTTAACAAGAATCCATTGAATGTGCGTGCATATGGAGCTATAAGCTATCAACTTTTCATCATATTTGTGATTTGGCATTTGTCCATGATTAGTAAAATGCCATTTAATCTTGTGCTTAACTAGAATTCATGGAATGTGCATGCCTATGGAGTTTCTATTGTGTTGTTTTCTTTCCTGCTATGGTGACGTGTGTAACATCTTTGGATTCTACTTTGCCAGGAAAATCCCACTTGATGGAGTATGCCATGTCTCATCTTTCTTATCCTCTTTTGTTGTAGTACAGCATGGATTTTATGTTGCAGTCTTAACATCATAACATGTATGTGGAATGAGAAGTCTTTTGCTATTTGTTTATTGTTTTTGGATTAAAACCCTTTGCCATTTGATGTGATGGTTGAACATGTTGAGTTTAGGCCTACAAAACTACTTTTTAGTTATTATATATATATTTATATATATTGTGGTTTTGGTCAATGAATGATTGAATGAAAGACTTCTCATGAGATCCAAATCTAGGAAAGTTTATTCTCTAGGCATATTTTCAAGGTCTAGTATAAGAGTATTTTTGCTTCAAATAGAGAAAAATAATAATTTTATTCATTTTCATTGATGAAACTGTCCATTGCACAAATGACACGTGTACACCAAGATTCTAAAGGACCACATTTTTTTGGAGTAAAATATGCGGCACAACGAATCGGATCAGTTCACCTCCTCTCTTTGCCTCTTTGACCTACTGAAATACCATTTCTCTAATCACTCAAGTATATATTATGGTATGGAAATAATAATAAAAAAATAATTAGATTAGATATTAGTGGATTCATACATGGGGCAGGTACTGCAGAGTAACTCTTAAGTGGTCATTCAAAAGATTAGAAAAGTACTCCGTATACTGGTGCTTTGTATTGTTTAGAATTTTGTAGATTAAAAAAAAAAAGAGTTTTATTGTTCCATTATATTAAAATAAAATAAGAAAGAAAATTTGAAAAGATCATATTGATTTAATTGATTTGTGGTTAAGTATCAACAACTGTTGAGACGATCTTAAAAAGGAAAAGTGGATTTGACAATAATCATCCAACCCATTTTGCTTCACAATATTTTCTACTTCTTGACAATGATAGTAGAAAAAAAACTATTACCTTTTATTTTATTTATTACTAAAAATTTTTAATCATAATTTACTAAATTGATCAACTATACATGTATCCACCATAAGCTAAACTTGCAAAATCATTAATGAAATTGTGATTTTTAATAATTAATTAATAGGTTGAATTTTAAATAAATCCTCAAAATAGAGTTATTACATTTTCTTTTCCCCTTGTTTAAACGTTTTAAAAAAATATATATTATAATTGTAGTATAATCTTTGTAAATATTAAATTATATTTATTAGGATTCTTTGGTTATTACGATTGCAATATAGATGTTATTTTCTTCTTTCTTTGATTTATGCGAAAGTTCGTAATCGCTACTCGAAGGCAACAATAAAGTAAATCAATCTAGATTGTTCGTAGCTAACCGACTCAAACCGAGAAGGTCATTAGATAGATCTTACAGAAAGTCAAATTTATAATTTCTTACCTTCTTTTTAAGCATTTTGATTGTGTTGACAAAAAGTAGTCAAAAACGGAGTTAAGTTTCATTAAAATAATGTTCGTTTTATATCATTTTAAATGTTATTGTGAGTGTATACTGTATATTTAAATACCAAACTAAGCCAAGTAGTTTGTAGCTTAATGTCATTTATGTGACTCGACTCTTTGTGTTTCAATAGGTTGAAAAAGTATACTACTATGTAACAGAGTTAGTAGTATTAAAAAAATTACTACGCTAATAATTCATGAAAATACGTTTCAATAAACAAAAAAATATAATGACTAAATTTTTATGTAAATTTTTACACACACATATATAGTTATTTATTTATTTATAATTATTTATTACGTAAATAATTTGAGTAAAAATGTTATTTAAGCAAAGTGCGCAATTTCTATTTAACAAATCCATTGCACCATAAAGTGGGGCCCACACACATGGCCGTCAAAATATTCCACACATTCCCCACGCGACCCAGATCCGCGCGTGGGCTATGATTAATCGAAACGCAGATGGGTGAGCGCAGTGCAACACAGAAGTATTTAGAAGCCAAACCCAAATAAAAGCAGGCGACAAGAGGGCGAGACGACCGGCACCGTTCAATTCTCTCGGCCGCGCCGGCGACGGAACCACCGCACGTGCAATTTGAGTCGACATGTGTGTCCTACGTTGTTGTTGTACGTGGCTATCTTATCCCCACATATATATATGCTCTGTTCTTGACGCTTGCCTGTGATTTCAATTTGTTTTACTCGATATGTGGAGCTGTCTGATTTTTAGCTTGTGTTTTTTTCTAAGCGTTTTAGGTAATAATTAACCTTGCTCTTGTCTGTATTTGATGCAATTTCAAACTTTATTTGATTTTGAGTTCATCCGTTTTTGGCTTAATTGGTTTTCTTCATTTATTTGCTTGAAAAAAATAAAAATAAAAAATCTCTATCTCTATCTAAAAAAAAAAAACATAATCAATAGCTTTGTGTAATTTCCATTCCCAGATTAATTTGTTTTCAATTTTTTTTTTTTTTTGTTGGGTAAAGATTGTTGCATACTTGCATTTGGGTTGTAATATGTGTAAATCCTTTTTTGAAGATTTATGTGTTGTAAGAAGTGAATTATTCATGTTTTTGCATGGCTCAAAACATGGTGTTGGCTCCTTGTGATGGGGCTAGCATTTGTTTCTATTGGTTTGTAGCTGAAATTTGTGCCTTGGATGATTGGAGTAGGTTGTTGATTCATGGTCATTTAAGCTTAAAAGAGGTTGGTTTATTTTAGAACCAGAGGCAGTTTGTGTAATTTTATGTTTATACATGGTTAAAACCTCGTATCTTATACTATCTGGAATTGTAAAGCTTGAAGGTTTTGAAATTGGAGAAAGAAAAGATCAACTAATACTGATGTCTGTATCCTTGGTTGTAAGTTTGTAGCTTTTGCTTTGCTAGACAAGTGTGTTTAGAAGCTTTCGGTTCTTCCACTTTCACTGTATAGACTATAGAGGAACTAGAGACACCTTTGGCTACTCAATATCAAAATGTGGTTAGGCTATTGGCTTGGTAACCATAAGGTCACAAGTTCGATTCCTAGTGGGAGTGGCCTATTGACCTTCTTGGTTTGAGCCAGCCAGCTATAGGCAACCTAGGTTGGTTTGCCTCCTTGTGGTCCTTTGCCGGCTAGGGTCACAAGGGGGGATTTACCTAGTGCACACCCTCGGGTAGTGCCTGCGAATTTCCCTCGTCACTCAAAAAATGTGGAATGCTAAATGTGGTTTCTTCAAGTCATGTTTGTGTAATACTGAGCAACGTTATTACTTGGTGAAGCTTTTAGCCATTTTCTTAGACTATTTTCAGGTTTCTGGATCTTGGGTGTAACAATTTTTTATATCCTTCTTGGTGTAGCCGTGTAGGTATTGAGCTTCATCTTAGTTGACTGAAGTTAAGAGGATACTGATTCAGGCAGATAATTAACTATCTACACGAAAAAGCAGTAATGGAGGCACGACCAGCTTTATCCATCCAAAGAGTGGGGTCTAGGCAACTAAATAACTTTGGTGCATCTGGGGCTCTTTCTTCTTCTTTACCAGTCCTTCCTACAAATCTCGAAGGGAAATATCCCAAGTTGCCCGACTCGCAGCAGATTTCCTTGGAAAGGGAAACTATGCAATGTCCTCCAGCTGTTGCTCCATTGTCATCAAATAGTGAGGTTGCTGGTCTTATGTTTTCTTCATCTTCTGGATTTTCCAGTGATCTTCATTTTTCATCTGCTTCACCACTAGAGAACCATTCGAGACAACCTCCTTTTATTTCCCAGTCAACAAATAACGAGTCATCCATGTTGTTGCCTGATTCTGGAGTTCTTCAATCCACAGCATCGAGTCATTACTCTAAGCAAAATATTGGCCCATGGTCTACGGATTCATTAACTGATTTTCTTGATTACCCAATAAATACCCCTACACACAGTGGTCAGCTGCAATGCAGTAACAATGCCGATTGTGCCATTACTTCTGAGGATCTTGGTAAACGCAACGATTGGCAGGAATGGGCTGACCAGCTAATCACTGACGATGATGCTCTGGCTGCTAATTGGAGTGATATCATTGCCGATACAAGCACTGCAGACCCAAAACCAAAGGTAGCTTCATTTTTTAAAAAGGGCTAGTGTGTGTTCTGATATCCATTCCTCTTTGTTATTTTTACTTTTTCTAACCGAGATGATTCCCCCATAGAGGAAACCATCTCATGAGAGCAATTTATTCTTTTCGAGTGTTTTATCAGATGCTTCAGCTGTTGTACTTGCCTCTGGAAAGATGGTTTTATCATGGAATTATTTATTTATTTATTTAAATTTTTTATTGCTACACCCATTCTTAATTTTATTATCCTGCCATTCTGTAGCTACAGGTGCAATATCAAGTGTCAAAACAATCTTCAAATTTACAAATCCAGCATTCCCAGGCAAGCCAGCAACTCGTTGCTTTTCCCGAAGAAACTTCAGCCACTGTTCCTCTATCATCCACTGCAGGTGCTGCTCCAACCAAGCAGCGCATGCGTTGGACACCCGAACTTCATGAAGCATTCGTGGAAGCTGTCAACAAGCTTGGTGGAAGCGAAAGTGATCTTTCTCTCCTTGCTGAGCATGTTAAAATGATGATAGTCGAGAAGTGTTTTTGCTTTGAATTAATTTTTTTTTACTTTGAACTACAGGAGCTACTCCCAAGGGCGTCCTAAAACTAATGAAAGTTGACCATTTGACCATCTATCATGTTAAAAGCCACCTGCAGGTTTGTGATGCTTCCTTATTGCTTCCTCGTTGATGGAC